GTATCGTGACTAAACCTTAAAACACATACATATATAAGAAAACATAGAGATGAGACATAGGGGTTTACATACTAAAATATACGGGCTATGATAGAAAATGAGCCCAAACCTAAAATCAAAATATAAAAGCAACAGATTAGAAAGAAATCAAAATTAGGATGTCAAGAATTATAAACGTGACTAAACGATGACAAATAGCAATGGAAAAATTCAAGGACCATAGTTAAACGCATAAAAATATAACATATTGATAAGATCAACACTAACCTCGATCAAGCTGATACATGACAAAAAGAACAATTAGGTTAAGCACGAAAAAATTCAAGCACTATGGCAAAACTTATAAAAAATATAAAAACATAAAATAATGATAAGATAGAAACTAACCTCGATCTAGCTGATAAAACCTACAGGACATAAAAAATAATTAGGTTAACAATTAGTATATAGTATACAAAATAACATGAAGAACAAAACCCAATCAATATATACGATGGAACAAAGACCTACCTCGTATATGAATAAATCTAGAAATAAAAGAGAACAATTAGGTTAGAATTGGTCTATTAAATATGAAAAAAGAAATTAACAAAAATATATGACGACACAAACACTAACCTTGTTTAAGTATTTAAAAAAGAATTGTAGGTAAACTTAGGGTTTTACTAAACCGACGTTAACATATGGGCCAATATATCAAATTGATACAAACCCAAACAAACATTCAAACTTAACAAAGCACATAATAACTAAAAGACAAAAAAACCATGTATTATAAAGAGACGGAAGAAACGGAGAACAATTCCGTAAAACAATATCGATAGATCAAAATTTAATTAGTGAAAATATTAAGAATATCATTAAATAAATACAATTAACTACACCATTGAGAAAGCTCTTCGAACTGCCACATAAATTTTTGTACTTCTCAAATAATAAATAAATTTTCTATATGTCAGCCTCTAGTTAGAGCCCAAAACGAAAGCCCAGAAAAATGAAAGAGGTGAGCTTTTAGCAGACGAGACGGCCATGGAAACGAAAAACCCCAAAGTCACACCTCCTCCCTCATGAATCTCCCTCGTCCACCGCCCGTCCCCGGCCTAATCCGCCGGCCGGTGGGTCCCTCTCCGTCACCTCTCGATCCGCCTGGCATACCCTCTTCTTCTTCCGACGGAGTCGTTGTGGTGGGGTTTCTCTCACGAAGACCGGACGATTCTTCGCAGCTCATTAACCAGTTGCTTGATAGCAACGCCTTCGGGTCTGGAAATATGGCCAAGATCCTTCCCGTCGATGATAAATCCGATGTTCAGGATTGGTTTAGGTTTCGGAGGATTAGCTATTACTACGCAGAGGAGAAAGGAATCGTGTTCGTGCAGTTCTGCCCGGCTTTCGAATCCGACCACGAGTTTGGTGATCTTCAGGGCTTGCTATTCATGTTCTCTGTGAGTTCTTTTATCCTGAGCTAAAGTGACTTGAGCTTCTTCTTAATCAAAAGTCAGAACCTGATTTGTTTCTTTTCTGTACTAACAAGTAGAATCTGCCAGAATTTGAGCTGATTGGAATTGTAGGCGAGTGGTATAACTGAACTGTTGTTAACAAAACAACTTAGGTGGAGTAACAATGTGGGTTTAGATATGTTGGTAAGGAAAACACACATAAAGAAGTGGGCATCTTGGCTTTATAGCAAAACTTGTCTTGTTTAGTTTCTTGTTGATATACATGAGGTAATTCAGTCAGCTCTGCAGGTTTGCCATGTTATCATAAACATCCAGGAGGGGTCGCGTTTTGATACCCAGCTCCTGAAGAAATTTCGGGTCTTGCAAGCTTCTAAACAAGCGCTAGCCCCATACGTTAGGTCTCAGATCGCTTTACCTTTGATATCAAGATCGAATACTTTACATCAACCACACTCAGCTTCGTCCAGAGGTGGGGGCATCATACGTCGAAGTGCTTCATCTGTGTCTCTCAAGTCTGGGGGAGGCTCCTACACTTCTCTGTTCCCTGGTCAGTGTAGTCCCGTGGCATTGTTTGTGTTTTTGGATGATTTCTCAGACATGTCAAAGGCCAGTTCTAGTGCAGATGATTCAACAACCACTTCATCTGTTAATAATCAGTCTGCAAACTCCGGAAAGCTTGCTAGGTCGGAGTTGCCAACAAAAACTTCTGGTTCTGTAGTTGTCTTATCTCGCCCAGGAAGTAAATCTGAAGGGGGGTTGAGGAGGAAATTACAATCATGTCTTGAAGCACAAATTAGGTTTTTGATTAAGAAATGCAGAACCCTCACAGGCTCCGATATCAGTCATGTTGGCACAAGAAATGGGAGCATTTCGAATTGTGCACCTCTATTTTCGCTTGATGCATCAAAGGCTGTCATTCTCTTAGACCGGTCTACAAATAAGAAAGCAGAGGCTTTGGAGTTTGCCTCTTCTCTTGTTGATGATGTTTTGAATGGAAAGGCTAATTCAGACTCTCTTTTGCTTGAAAATAATTTCCAGATGTCTACCAAAGAAGATGTGCTATGCGTGAAAGAATTCATCTACCGGTGCTCTGATATTTTAAGGGGTAAAGGAGGTTTGGCTGCCAATTCAAGTAATGCTGGCATTGGAATGGTCGCAGTTGCAGCAGCAGCAGCTGCTGCCTCAACTGCGTCCAGAAAAACATGCAGTGCACCACAGTTGCCCCAACTAGACGAATGGCTCTCTTGCAGCCATCAAATTCTACGAGGAATTATAACTGCGAAAATTGTGTCTACTGATGAAATTGATCTTGGCAAGAAGAAATATCGGGAAAGAAACATGTCCACGGTGAAGGATGAAGCAAGGTCATCAAAAGGCCCAGAAACTCTTGATATTGCTGTCTCCTTGCTGGGAAGTGGAGATGGTCTCAGTTTGAATTTTTCATCCTTATGGTGTGAAAGAGCCCTTCCAGCTGCTAAGGACATGTATTTGAAAGATCTCCCCGCTTGTTATCCTACTCTAGTGCATGAAAGACACCTACAAAATGCTTTATGTATTTTCCGGTCAATGGTTAGAGGACCCTCGGTGAAGCTGTTCACCAAGAGGTTAGAAGATGAGTGCGTATCCATCTGGGAATCTGGGAGGCAGCTGTGTGATGCTACCAGTTTAACCGGTAAACCATGTGTGCACCAGAGGCACAATATCGTGGACGAGGAAGTTTTCCCTGGTGCAGAAGTCAAGTCCCATTCCAGTGGATATGTTTTTCACCACGCATGTGCTTGTGGCCGTTCACGGAAATTACGTGGTGATCCATTTGATTTTGAGACTGCAAATATATCTTTCAACTGCTTTTCCAACTGTGACAAACTTCTTCCCAGTGTTAAGCTACCTGAAATAGCTCATACAGGGCCCATAATATCCTCGTCATGGAGTCTAGTTCTAGTTGGTGGTTCAAGATACTATGAACCCTCAAAAGGTTTACTTCAAAGTGGGTTTTCTGCAATCCAGAAATTCCTTTTTAAATTGGTACTATCATCACAGAGAGAAGATGCGCCAAGTGATTTGTTGGTTAGGGATTCTGAGAAGGCTAGGACAATCAGAACTAACGTTGACTCTGCACTGGTTACCTCAGGGCCATTAACTCGTAGAGAGTCTGTTGGTAATGGTAGTAGTGGTGACAAGAAAATTAGTTTTGGTAAAGGCCTTCCCAATTTATTAATGAGAAAGCCTTTCTCAGAGGTTGTTGCTGGATCAAAGAGTACAGATTTATTATTTCCTCCCCTTCAGCCAAGCAGGCAGCCTCCTCTTGTCTTGGAAAAGGACTCCAAGCAAAAGAGCCGGAATGGTCAGAGTGAAGAGAGCATTCAAGATGCTTGTAATCAAGAATGTCAAGACTCGAAAGACAATTCTCGTGATCCGGAAACCTTAGGCATGTCCAGAGGCATCTCGGCGACAGTTGATGGCCATATTTTGCAAAATGGTAATAAAGTAGTGCCAGTAAACATGAAAGTTGGTGAGGAGGTTATATCAGACTCCACACAGATTGCTTACATAGGGTTTGAGCATGAGTGCCCCCATGGTCATCGCTTCTTATTGAATACAGAGCATCTTGCTAAGCTTGGCCCTTCATACTCGTTCCCTGAAGAATATTTAGACCCTAATTCAGCAGAAAGTTCAAAATTCAAGAATGACACTTTGAAGCTAGAGAAAAATATTGTTTATGGTAAAGGCCGCCGAAAGTCAAATAGGATGGCTACTGGAATGAATAGGATGAAAAACATGGATAGGTCAAATCAAGTGGTTTCAAAAGATGGTATTATCCATGTAAAAAATGTAAATAGGACTTCAGTGGATGCTGAACGCATCGATCAACTTATACATAACTATGGGGCAAACGATCATATTAACAATGCTGAAGATTTTGGGGTGGCGTTTTCTATGTTGGATAGAAATTTGCCAATATTTATGAATTGCCCACATTGCTCAGCTGCTATTTCAAAGAAAGATTCTTCAAGTATCAAGTATGCTGGTACAATATCGCAGCTTCAAAGGATCTTTCTGGTAAGATTTGGAAATAGGAACTTTTCTATATTGAATTCGTCCTTGCGGTTTATTGCTTTTACTGTGAAACTCTTTGCATTTAATCAAAATCTGTTCTGTTGCGTTTTCTTCGGGATGCACATATAGATTAGTCTGTCAATTATCTTAGGCTTGTGTCCCTTTTGTTCTCTATGAGTTGAACGGACATTTTAGAAGACTTACTTATTGTATACGTTTTGCTTCCAGGTTACACCTCCATTTCCTGTAGTGTTGGCGACCTGTCCAGTGGTAAAATTTGAGGTACTTTTCTTACTCTGACAGTATGTTACCATCAGTTTCATATGGAAAACCGTTTATGCTCCATCTTTGGATGAAGGAATAAATATCGTAGAGAATGGTGTTTTGTCAAAAGCAGAAGCAATATGCTTTCACTATGTTTGATCTCAAACTAATAATTTACGCTTCTGAAAGCTATTCCTCGTGATTAATCATAGTTCTGTATTATTTTTGTGCTGAGAATCCAACCTCCTAGTCTTTTCATCGTGTTCTTGCTCTTAATTTTAATTTGATCGATGTTAATTGATGGCACGAACATCTAACACTATCTCTACTTCAGGAGTCATGTCTACCTCCCGCCATCATTGACCGTGAACAGAAGTTGCAGTTTAGCCTTGGTTGTCCAGTGATTTTACCACCTGATAGTTTTCTATCTCTTAGATTGCCATTTGTATATGGTGTGCAACTAGAAGACAGAACACAACTTCCTCTTATGCCTTGTGCACAAGAACCTGAGAAAACTGCCTGGATTGCCAAGGGCACCGTGCTTCAGTTTCTAAAAAAAGAGAACAATCTCGATGTGAAATTCCAGACGTAAATTCTCTCAGCCCTTCAAATTGTCATCTCAGCAATGCCTCCTCCCATGCTGTGCACGGAAGATGCTCCTCTGCACCAGAAACTGTCGGTGAATGAAATTTTATACGTTTGTGATTAAACAAACACAAAGCCTAGTTTCCATTATCTGCCCGCAGCACCATGATTCTTCAGTTGCCTATGAGATGCTTCCTGTAGTTTGCAAGTTGAAGAAGAGAATGAACAGATAGGCGATGAGGGACTTACCTTTCGGGTACATTTCCTTGTGGCGGCCTCTACTTACGAGAAAGCTGTATTCTTTATCTTGTTGAAATGAGGTGATCTAGGGATCTGATTCAGAGCGCCTTGGAGAGCAGAGGAGACAATGCCATAAACAGACGTGATTGCTGAAACAAGTTTCTGGTTCTTGAAACCTCTCTAAGTCAGATCTGATGACTATTTTATCCAGAGAAATGCAAGTTTAAGAAAAGCTTATGAAGAAGTTTCATATCTTCTGTGTGAACAAAGCTGTTAGTTTAA